ATCAGAAAAACAGCTACAAGATAAAAATGAATTTCTGATCAAGATATCTATTAATATGCTTACTCAAATCAGCAAACTACTAAGCACTCTACAAGAGAGACACCTGCCTGTCACTGCAGCAGGGTAAGGATGTCAAGTCCTAAGTAAAACTATAGTCCCAGGTAAGCATGTAACAGAAGAAATAATCAAAAACTGAAAATTGGATGTGACAAAGGTAATGAGTGGCATTTAAAATATATGTGCCTATATACACACCCATATATATGTATGTATATATGCCTCTATAGGTACATACACAGATTGTAGAAATATATATATCTACATGTAAAATATATAAATTATATGTGGACGGGTACATATCTGTATATGTACACATATATATCTATATGTGCATACAAATATAAGCACATATTGATAAAATGTTTTGATATACTGTACACTCTAAACAAACACAAACTTAAGAAAAAAGTCACCATCAGCAACACTAATCGAAAAAACAGTATTCCTAGCTAAGCACCAAAATTGAAGCATCCACTAGGCCTGTTTCCTCCCCAACACCTCCACCCTCCCCATAAACTAACACACCATGGTAACACTGGGAGTGTTTAACTCAATTCAACATTGAAGTCACCAATATTACTGAGAAAAAAAACCCACTTCTCTGTTTCTAAACTAACACCTCAAGACCAATACAATGGGAAACCAAGAAATTTACAGAAAGTGAGCTGCACTCTTCAAGTCACAAGGAAAAGCCTGCTATCAAGTCAAAATAGGAGAGCATAACTAAATTATTTTGTCCACTAAAGTAAGATTACAATAACCATAGTAGATTTTGCTTTAAACATTGCAAGGTTGACACTACCATGAAGAAACTACAAACTGGACTGCAGCAAGACTCAAAGATTTGACACCTTGCCCTGCCAATAGCAATATTTAAGATTCATACTACTGTTTAGGGTAGAGATAGTTCTGATGCTCACATTGGAGAAGAGTGTGAACTAAAGTTTCCTCTTATCCTTAAAGGGTAATATTAAATAAAACCTTTATGTCCTGCACAAACCAACAGTTTAAGAGTAAACAGTGGCTTCCCAGAGATGTAAATTAAATGAGTAGCTACTGTCTGTCACTCCACACAGAAGCTATGTAACTGTGCTGCAAATAGTTAGTGTTCATCACACCCACAACTTCAGGTAATGTTGTTAGCTTTGTTCCACCACCACAGTTTTGGTGAAAGCGCTGGGATTCCGAGTACCTCAGCTACCCCCATTACCAAGGGAATATAAGAGGGTTTGGGATAATTCAGGAAATCTCTAGATTCCATTACCTGTTATTTAGAAATACAACACAGTGACAGGCACAATGAATTATGGCTTCTCAGGGGAATGGCATAGATACTATGAAATGGTTTACAGCACACAGCAAAGAATAACCTGAAGATCCCAGAGCAGCAAAATAAGGGCTGAGTAGAAATCCGACTGCCTCATAATTTACAGCATGAAGGTAAA